ACATACTCCTGGAACCTGATATCTTCATCCAAATGTAAACCTCAATTATTTACGTAATGGGAAAATGTAACTAAAGTACTATTAATAGTATCTACATACGTATAACATATCTGTTTAATGTTGATTTGAGGAAAGTACGCTTTTTTGGAGCAAAAAAAGTTGTCGATTTGGATGCGTTTAGTGGTAAATTGTGCCTTGTGTTGTATATACATATACCTATATGATGTAGATCTAGATTAATAAGGTTATTAGCCATGTGGTAGTTGTTCAGAAAGAACCTATAAAAAACTTGAATATCATCAGCATAAGATTGACTTGAACCATACTGAAGAGTGTATGTATCTGAGGAACCTGAGAGGACCTAATATGGATCCCTGAGGCACGCCGGAACAGATAGGCCTTTTTTCTGAATGTTCATCTTGTAACAGACATACTCGTATTAATGTCATTCATTTAGATAACAATTTCAGGGCCAAAACGTCAAAGCCAATGTATTTAAATTTGTTCCCAATATATGCATAAAATGACAGCCCCTTTCATGGTTGAAAACCTCTAAGATGCCTCAGCTATGATGAGTTCAGACAATATGTAGCAACAATGCAGGCATTGTACGTATCTACCTATAACCTTTCTAATTATTGGCTAGCATTTGAAAGCAAATAAATCTAATGCCACCCACGTACTAGCACGCCCTCAAGTTTTCATAGTCACGAGTTTGGTCCAAATAATGGATCAGATAAGACTGCCAGTGATAGTAAGCATTCCAATTCCCAATGAAGGACCCAATAGCTGATACCAGTATCTCTATTATACAGGGTGTTCTGAAAGTTTGGATTTTTCTCTTGAGAAATTACTACGCTAGTGGAATAACAAAGTTAATGTGAGGTGAAACAGTGAAAAATAAAAAAAAATGAAAAATTACTTCACCGTTCAGGAGCAGAAAAATTTCAAATACGGGTCTGTCACGTATAGGTAATGTTCGGAGTTAGTAGAATGTTTCCCAAGATGTTTGTCAAAAATGTAACCGACGGACTACGTGAGGATTTTCCAATAACCACCCATGAGTATCGGAAGTTATTAACCCCGTTACGCGAAAAGGTTGATTCGCCCGCGACTAATATGGACTTCAACGTCAGCTCCGGATTATTTTCACGTCACATTTTGAAGACACTCACCATAAATTACAGTCTTGACCACATAATTTCGATGTACGAGTGTGCCATTTTCTTTTGGAACCGATTGTGTGAAGTGAAGTTAATTTTTACATCTTGGAATAATAATCAAATACTTGAAAAGTTGCTGTAATCTGGTAAATATTTGATTTTGATTTGTGAAGTGGATAATTTGAGTCCATTGCCTCAAAATCAATTTTTAGATCGTATCTAATAAAAAAACGTCGTATAGTTTTTGTACTCCGGTGAAATGACATTGGACCATATATCTCTTCTTGCAAGTTCTGCCAACGATTAATACGAGTTCTAAAAAATCTTCTTTGTGAACTGAGCCTTTCCATCAAACATTTTTTGCGCTCATTTAGATAAAATGAACCTCTTCCATATCCTCAGGTGGTACCTATTCAGCTTTTGCATTAATTATTTTTACGTTATTACAGTTACGAGATACCAGTGCTGTAAATATTTTCATTTTATAAAATCAATATATACGTATGCTATACATATCCATCAATCCATAGCTACCGATAATTAAACTTTTGCCAGAAAAGCTTATTGTTAATTGAATTCGTCGAAATTACATGTCGAACAGTTGCGAATGGACATTGTGAATTAATATCATTGTTATTTATAATTAATGATATTATCAATTCTAAATTATCTGTTGGGTCACACATGTCTTTTGTTTCGAATCAAATTTGAAATAAGGTGCGTATTTTGTAATGTGACTCCCAAACCTTATTCTGAAGTTGTCTATCTGAGTCAAACATTCAACTCTTGTTATACATTAAGTTTAGTTTGAACTATATCAATCCCTAGTCAAGTCTTGTTGCTCATGCACTAAATAATTAATAATTAATAATACTTAAACGCAAGCGATCAGAGCCGGCAGGCGCCCCATGCCGTGCTATGCCCCGTAGGGACTAACTACTGTAATTCTTTGCCTATAAAAAAATTAGAAATGTGAAACATTGTCAGCTTTTGGAAGGGTGTTCGGCTATAAATTGCCTCCTCATCTAACTTTTTTATACGAGCTTCCAGAAGAAAAAGTTGTGCCTATATAAATGTAATAGGGGTCCAATATGTTTTTCATGTAATTTTTTTCTTGTACTCAGGAAAGTGCTTTTCGATAAAGTATCTTTTTAAATGGAACATCTCGTATATTTTCAGGGAAAATAATCTTTTTTCTGATTCAAAATGTATATAGGTTTATCATACCTATCTTCATATGTTTGCTCAAAAACTTAAAGTATTTGTGTCATTTACCCATGTGAAACAAGTTCGCATCTAGCCCTCTACGCAATGTGGTATAGAGCCGGCAGTGGTTACCATTGGTAACAGTTAAAAATCTTAAAAATAAATATTTTATGACTAAGTACTGTGAAATAAGTTCATTTATTTGTTTAAGAATAGCAATATGTAATGGTAATTCAGTACATAGCAAATTAGCCCCACGAAAGTAATGCGCCCTATAGTGTCTAGGTTTTGCGAACACGATGAAGCCGACTCGCCTCGACTTGGTTGTCGGTTATTGCCATTTTCATTTATGGATACACTTGGTAGTCCGTCGGGGACCGTCGGTACCGGCTCGTGTCTTATCGCGGTCGTCCGAGCGCGTGGGGAGCTGCGACTATTATGTGGGATTGTTACCATTTTTTGATTTGGTTACTCACTTCTCACTCGTTAGTAGCCGTTTTGGTTACTACTTGAAAAGTCATTCTCCTTGTATAATTTTTCAGAAAAAAGGAGATCAGTGAAAATGGAAGACCAACACCTATTTTAGATGATTTTAAAAAGGAGTAAAAAAACGTAGTTTGATATTTTAAATTAAGTTGGTATATGGAAACTCTTGGTTATGTGATTGCAAAAAAACAAATTTTATTATTGGCGATGTCTTCTGTTTTATACAGAACAAAAAGGGTGGAAAACAAGAATCGAAAGTTGTCTTAACCAAGCTTTTAGGCAGTAAGCTTCTAGATACCGTATGTTTTTTGGAAAAACATGAATTACTGTTCATTTTGAAGGGGATGACTCTGACAATAGAGGAAATTACACGGAATTGTTAACATTCATTGCCACAAAATATCAAAAATTTTCCGAACATCTAGCATAAGACTATGAGGTCAAGTCAAGTGCCCCAGACGCTCAGTCCAGGAATGTTTACCTTAATTTAAAGCAAAAACTTATATTTGGGAGGTTCAAAATAAACTGTTTTTAATAAGATTTTTCACATCTGGTTTTGGTAACAGTTTAGGAAAAGTCACGCGTCGCCACTGAGAGCCGGAATACCTATGACTAAATGCCACACAAACTTCAAGTTTTTGACAGAAGTTAACAAACCATTATTTTCACTGAAAATATACAGGGTATTCTATTTAGAAAAAACAACTTTATTCGATAGCCCTTTATTGAGACAAAAAAATATTACAAGAAAAACTTCACTCCACAATGTCCAGTACTCGTATCCTATTTTAAATGTAGTGTGCAGAAGAGCTTCGTCATCGGTTTTAACAATCTAATCACATTAAAACAAATCTGTACGGCTGTACAGATTTGTCTGGCCTCGGACATTACAGATAATCTAAATTCATATCCGGTATTAATATAATATATCTAGTATATGGTATCGTGAACTCGAAAAACTTTGCGAGAGGGTGGTTAAAGTTCTGTCATTACGAAGCAATGACGAAGTTCGGAACTAACTTCGCCTCTTTTTTCTTTTCATTGGAAGTTTTATGACTTGGCGTCCGGTATTTGTAGCAAATACAAGTTCCTGATGGAATGAGTCTACTTTTAATTTAGATATAGTACCGAGGTACGATCACATCATATTTGACATTATCAGATCAAGAAGAACCAGAAATCAAAAAGTAGTAGTATAGTAGTATAGCATTATTATAGCGCTATATACAGGGTGTAAAGTTGGTAGTGGATCAACGGAAGTCAGGTGATAGAGGGCATCTAAACATACCGAATGAACCCCTATATGTGTGGTCCAAAATTTTTTTGGTTCAGGAGATATTTGCAATTTTGTGAAATTTCGAAAAAAAACGGGATAATGAACATTCAATCGTAATCACAACTATACCATTATGTTGAGGGCTGTAATTTTGTTTCTGAGATGAGCTAAATGTATATACATGTATATAAAGAGAAAATGATCATGCGGAGAAAGGTATATAACAAAAATACGAAAATAATGGGCAAAATCCGCAAAAAAGAAGGGAAGTGGATTCGGGCTGAAAATAGGATAGGTAAAATTTTCTCTTTGAAGATCCTTTGGGCTTAAAGTACCACAGCAAGAGGCTATAACCGGCCGCGTGGTTGTGGTTAGTTGTCGCCTTGAAAATTCGAGGTCTTCTAACCATTTTGTACTACAATGTGTAGGTTGGCTCTTGTTGTGGACTTCCTGTGTCATTTGTTTCCCTCTCCATCTTCGTTTCCTCAGGTTACACCCGTATCCGGATGTATGGGCATGTGTATCTACTTTTGTAGTTGCTTGCATATGTGCATCCACTTCGGGCCTGATCAAGCCAACCAGCAGATATATGTATCGCTCGGGTTCCTATCCTATTTTTTGCTCGAATCCACTTCCCTTCTTTTTGCGGATTTTGTCCATTATTTTCTTATTTATATATATATATATATATATGTTTGATTTATTTAATTTTAATATTGTTTCATTTCCATACTTTATATATGAGCTAGTATATTATTTTTATGGTTTCTCTTTATTTATTATTATTTTTCTCCTTTCTTGGTTAAGTGTAAAGGCGTGTAGTCACCGAACGTGCAAAATGTTTATAAACGTATTCAAATGCAGTGCGTGTTTGGTGTGGACTTGAATCACATGGTACCGACAAATGTTTTCAAACCTTTGTAGGCGTTTGTCAGCGTTCCATCCAACTTCGGTAACATCAAACGATTTGTACTTGTTTGTGGATTTTTTGCGATTTTAGTGTGGACGGACGAAACAAATACATGGTAAATACAATTTTGCATATTGATTTCTTGATTTTTTAGGTTGGGTTTCAAGAACTGTTTTGGATATTTACTCTTTTTATTATTTGATATTTAGGCTATCATGAAGCGGTATAATGAAAGGGGTATACAACTTATAAATATATATAAGAATAAATATATATAAGACCAAACCAGAGTTATGGGATAAAAAAAGACATGTTTTGCTTCTATCACATAAAAAATAGTGAACAAGATGCTTGGAATGATATAGCGTCTAATATGAATACAACAAATGAAATTGTTGAGAAATACAACAAATGAAATTATTAAGGCCAAGCGTAAGGTAATTGTCAATCTAGTTTCAGGAGGATCACCGTCTATATACGTAGTTTGTATCACACTTGGATATCTCTGAAGTTATTTTTGAAAGCAGAAAATCAAAATCATCTTGTGACATTCGAGTAAAGTTTTTAAACACACTATTTCTATCATTTGTTTTTATATAACAAACTACATTCACTGAACCTGTTGTTTTTAAGAAATTGGACACCAAAAATTGCCTGTTTTTTTATTGTTTTTTTTTTCGCGACTTTTCGGTTCTATTAATTTATACAGTATAACGGAAGATGCAGCACATACGGCAGATTTGTTTTATTTTTTATTTTGAAAGCAGGCATTTTTGATACAATTTAATTTTTCGCCGGACACACCAACGGAACGTCTACAACATATTTGTAGGCGTTTATAAGCATGTACAAACATTTATAAGCATTTGATATCATCGTTTGCGTAAGATTTTTTGGTGAGTACAAGCCTTCAGACTAGCAGAGCTTAACTAAGGATTACTTTAAAGAAAAGATGCTCTATAAATGAAGCAAATAAGGGCGCCTAATATTATCGTAGCCATTTTTTTTTAAATCGTTAGGATGTTAATTTCTTAATTCAGCGTCTGTGAAATTGTGTTCCCAATTTATTTATGCAGGTATCTACTTACTAACCCAACAAAGCTTTTTATTTTATTATTTTATCTATACACGGGACTCTCAACCTTTTCGCTAACTAAAAACTGATGTCAAAATTGCAGAATCATAAGCTCCACCATGGGATAAACTGAATCGTGATCGTGTGAACCATCCACGGCTCTCGTTGGTTCACTTTTCACTCCCTTAGGGCGTTCCACGTTGTCGTCATTTTGCACTTTGCGCACTTGCTTAAGAATTGAACCAATGTAATGTATGCAACTAGAAATATCCTTCAATTCTGCTAAGCGACCATATGACCGTGTTGTTATGTATCATTCTATTTTAGATTTGGATCATTGTTTGACTGGGTTATACACAGGTGAAGACAAAGTGCCAACGACTGCATGTTACAAGTTTGTAACGACAACAAACCATCAGCACATTATCTCCAGTTGGTAAATACAAGCGCTTCTCTAAATCGTAGTGCACTTTGTCTATTATCCACTTGTACTAATCAGCTACACAAATTAACCAAGGAGCGAGCGGTAGGTTTCATAATTTGTTCAACTAATTAAACCGATTTAACGTCTTAGTGTTCACTAGCTTCTATGCAGTGCAGCTGAATGCGTAGCTGGGATTAAATGCTGAGATAGCAGCGCTAAGAGCATTTTAATTACTGCTTGTTTTAATATGTTCATGTGAGAGAAATAACAGTATTACCGGGGCGTTGAGAAAAAATTATCTCTTTTCAATAGGACCTGGTTAAACACTTCCAATATAGCGAACCCGTTCATTAAAAACAGCCCGGTAGGACCGCTACTTTTTTCATAGAGTGTCGATATTGTGTATGTATTTGTCTATCTGAGTAGTATGTATGAATCTTCATTGAAAAAATGTTCGAGTTACTTCCTATGCAACGGGGCGTAGAAGTATTCTATTCGCGAAAAAATCAGAAAATGAGATATTGGGGTTTTTGGATGTTATATGACCTGTCAGGCCGCATCCCTCATCGGCATCGGTATATGGCAGCAGACATCTGTGACTGTTTAATTGCGCGATCCCTAAAGACTTAGAATATTTTTTATACACGCAGAAACTTGAATACCACGGCACCGCGGCTTCTATGAGCTTAAAAATTTTGATAATCCGATTTTTAAGCTGCCTAAGGTTAGTAGAATTGGCGAAAGCCTCTTCAGGTAGATTCTTACACAATCTCGATTCCCTAGAGGCAAAGGAGCGGTCGTATCGGCCAGTTCAGGATGTAAGTTCTACACGGTTAGGATGAGAGGCCATCGTATATCGCGGGGAGGCATCATGGAATAGAGTTCTGAGGAGCAAAACGGTAGAAGTCAGCTGGATCGCCGACGGTGCGAAAGGGTTCCCAGGCTGTCCTTTGGAGAAGCCAACAATCAGCCCTTTGAACACCATCGGACATGAATAATGTAGCTGGAGCGGAAGCACCCCAAATATGTGAGTAATATTCGAGGCTAGGTCTTACCTGGGCTTTGTACAGAGAGAGGAGGTCTTGTCATGAACAGTACTTCTTAGCTCTAAACAAATATCCTAGCTTTGTTCCAGCATCTGCCGCTAACGACGAGATGTGTTCATACTAGATCAAGTATTCGGTGATCCGGAGTTCGACCAGAATAAATGAACGGCTCTTCGATAGAATTCGGCCATCCATACAAACCGCATAAGCGCTAGGGCACTTCTTGTTTTGCTTATGACATAATTAAAGTGTTGTATTATCTGACAAAAAAGTATCATTTGGAATGTTGATTTGAGATAGTTGAGACATACGACAACAGTAGTTTTTGGTCTTCCCTTATATAACGCAGACCTTTATTACTTGTGCTGAATCGCCATTCTGTTGTCGTCTTTCGCGCTCCTACAGAGATTTCAACCATTCCTCTCGGTTTGTTTGTAGATTCTTATGTTAATGGGAAGATGCTCTGTCAATTAGAGCCAACCGACTGATCCGTTTACGGAAAGCAAAAGCACGGAGGGGAGGAATTAAAAACAACGCAGCATCTGTGCTCAACGCTGTTGGTATACAGACCCTATTCATGCATACTTTCATTCAAACACATTTCTGTAAGCAATTGAATGCGGATTTGCTATTAGCTGATTTAATGAGCTCCATTTTCTGTCTTGAAGCTCTATTCAACGTTTGCTGAACGAACGGATTCATATTAAAAGACCAAATTTTACCCACAATGTGGATGCATTTCTATACAAGTAATCTAGCGAAATTTGACATTAAGTATTACACACCAGGTCGGTGCTAGATCAAATAGATACAACGCACCGCTGGATCTGGATTATTCAATAATAAATCACCCCGTATCAGTAATAAATGTGGCAAAAAATTTTGACATTAATTTCGATTGTATCCGTAGTGGTTTGTCAAACTTTTGAGACTGTTACAATGGCTATTTTTTTAAATTTGTTCTATGTGATTATTGTATGCACACCATTATCTTGCCCTGTTTGGCAATTACGTATAAATACATAAATAAATAAATAAATGGAGTATAGTGTTGGTGCAAAGGGGTCGGCAAAAATACCAAAGGCGGCTTGGTTGCACAGCTTTCATCACGACCAGTAGGTACTACTATTGCTTCTACTAGAATCGCATCATTATTTTTGGTCCATTCTCACCCAATATTATGTTTTCAAATATCGAACTTCTACCACTGCCTGATGAAATGGCAAAGTATACCTATGCATTATGGATTTGGTTGTAAATTTTATTGTTTTGTTTTTCCAAGATGTGATTATTTTCAGTGTCAGAATACATGAAAGAGTGCGACACTGGTGGCTACTAAACGAAATATATGGAACCATCTGTTACAGACGTCTTTCCCTTTTTGACAAGTTTCTGTTTATGACCAAATATATTTCATCTCCCTCTCAGAGTCTCTGGAGTCTGGAATGTACAGATCATTCCAGATTCACTGTTCGTCTGTGATGAAATGGTATATATCAATATAGCCTTCCAGTTTTCTGCAGGTTAAAGTGAATAGACAAAAGTATACAGAGTATCCTGAGAGTTGAGAATCTCCTTTTCAGAGTCAACTACAACCGCACCAAAAACGTAAAGAAGAAATTGATTATACTCACTATTCATTTGGTAAGGAATTTCAAGTACTGGTTCGATTCAAAAACACGAGTTTGTTTACCTCTTCCTAAATTTGCAACATTTGGGGCTGTTAGAATCTTCTACCATGTTCATCCAGACGGCTTTTGCATGACAGAAACAAACCTTCGCAGCTCTGTTGGAAAGAAACATCGAGGGCGAAGGTGACGTTCTGAGTACGCTCGCGGAGTATAAATACGAGTAGTTTGAGGATGCTTAAATTAAATCGATAACTATATTATTGCTCTAGGAATGTGCCAATTTCGGTTTTTCAAATGCGGTTTGTTTAAAAACTGGGGTAACTTACACTACACGCGGAGACTGATTTGGATACTAAAAGGGATGCCTCAACTCTGAGGACACCCTGTGTAGAATATCATAATATCGGTCTAGCTCCAGAGAAAACCTTATTTGAAACGAACTCGCGTTTAATCAGCCTTTTATCCAACGGCTCCGGTAGATATGCCACGATTACTCAAACGCGCTACTCATAAAACAGAGTATTAAGTTGCTTTATCGGTGTAACTAATAGTTTAATCAGCATGATTTAGATGAGAGAAGTTATAACTTGCAGACAGTTCATGAAAGCTTATACTCAGATCTTCATTGCATTTCTTAATATAAGTTTGGTGATTACGCACGATAAATAAAGGGATTTGGAAACCATTAGTACCGCATACGAATACGTTAGCGTTAATCTTATTCAACGGCTATACTTACAACGTAGTAGTAGTAGTAGTCAAGCGCTTATAGGGTGTAAAAGAAGCACAACTGCATTCTCGCACAAAGCCTTGGTGCCCTATGGCTAACTTAGCGCATGGATATAGTTCACGAGATATATACGAGTATAGAGTCTGTTGACATTTTTTTTTCTCCTTCTTTATGGTCTGGTCACTATATGATCCAGGTCTAAATAATGATAAGACGTCATTCATCTATTTAAATTATGCATTTATATAAGGTGCAATAAAGTAAAAAGCACTAATAGTGACATAATTAATTTGAATGCAGCGAATCTAAAATAAATCGCCTTGTTTCTCGACACCGCTGGCCCTGGTCTTTAACGAGCGTAATGTAAATTTGTCGCGAACTATACCTACGATGTAAACATGGATGATGAATTAAAAAATGTTAACGTTAGCGTTAAAGTACGCGGTATTTGCAATTGGCAAAACGATTATATCATATTCATTTTATCATTTACTTAAACAATATCCATGCTCTGTTTTTCCACTAAAATTCAGTTTATTTGACCTCAAGTTCAATTGGAGATACATACTTATCACAAACTACGTGCGAACACAAGGAAACCATTGCATCTCACATATCATAAAAACTATTTCCGCAGACTGACCATTGTGATTAAGTGTGGAAAATCAATGAAAAAATTAACATGTCAAGGTATCTGGGACATGATTGCGTACTAAGTATAAACAATATCAAAGTTATCAGGATCGTGAAACAGCAAAACACAGTGTCGCACATATTAAAAAATTACGAGGCTCAACAAAATAATGTTGCTATTTTGAGCCCGATCTTTAGTTTTCAGTTGAGTCTCACTATAGGAAACTAAATTCCTAGCGATTCAGTAGGGACTACGATCTGGAAGCACTTGATTAACATATCCTCCAAAAGCAATGACTATGATGTATTTGAATCTATAACAAAAAAATTTAGTGAACTAAAACTGTCAAACAATTACTTCATAACCCCGCCCATACGACAACGTTTGGTTGTAGAAATTTCTTCACTGCTCTACTAACAGCGCCGATCTTTGGGCAACCTTGCAATGACTAGCCTCGCCACTCGTTTGCCATGGAAGCCAACTATCATCCTACTCCAAGGGAAAATGGAATGACGTTTGAAATATGTGTAATAGGTGCGTAGAATCACCGGAGTTGAAAGCGTATAGATAAACTAAAGTCAAAAAACTAATACTCTCTATTTCTAGAGAATTCTGTCTCTCAGTTCTTAAAATTCTACATACAAGTTATTTACGCAGCAAATCAGAGTATATTTGGTATACACGCTGTGCAACACATGTTGATAAGATCGAACGTGTTCAGAGATTTTTTTTAAGAATCTTCATTTTAAGAGGACGGGTGTATATCCTGAGCGAGGATTTGATTACTCTTTGCTGCTTAATGAAGCAAATTTCGTTTCTCTGAACTCAAGGCACATTTTTCTAACAGCAGACTTTTTTGTATTATAAACTGGTTCATGGGAGTAAAATATGTGAATCTTTGTTAGGCAAAATCCCCTTCACCGTACCACAGAGTAACACTATAAATTCGCAAGCGTTTTATTGTGAATGTGTTAGTACCAATAGTTTGACGAAATTACCTGTTTCAATCATTTGTATAGCAATTTTAACTTAATAGGTAAAATCTGTGACATTGATTTCTCTCCTCTCTCGCTTGTTTACAAATCAATTTTGCAGATCACATTTAATATGTACCTTTTTCAACTATTTTTTTTTTTTGTGATTCAATTGTTTATTTTACATAACACAGATGTTTTTTGTTCCTAAGTATGTGCCTGTTGGAAATTAATATCTATCAATTTACCTATCTACCCCCTTCCCCTACAAGCCCCATCTCAAAAATCGTTCAAATTTCGTTTTTTGACGTTTCTGATGCTTTTGATCATTTCTAGAGAAATTTTTGTAGGGGTTAAAAATTTGGGGTGGGCAGTGTAGGAGAGTAGGGGAGAGTATGTTCCAATTTTTTGGTGACAGCTTCAAACCCTGGCAATTCGAGGTACCTGTTAAGACATATTTCACATACCACAGATTTTCCTATAGATTTGCCGTGGAACTTGCATGATAGAGATATATTTTCAACCCACGCATGAAATAGTTAAAGAGGTGTCACATTTTGTAATCAGACTGCGATACTAGCTACGAGTATGAGAACGACATTGATGAAAATATATACGTTTTGTGAAAGAATAAATGGAACAAAATCAGGAAAGATGCAAAAATCAAATTCTATAAATACATGGCGACAACTATAGTGATTTGTGGGTGGGAAAGCTGGGTCAGCACTAAAAAATATTGATACAGTCAGCAAAAATGAGATTTTTTAGAAGAGTAAATGGCTGCACAAGGAGGAAGCAACTAGGAAATGAAGACATGCACAGCGAATTAAATGTATTTGCCCCAAAAAAAGTAAATATAAAGAAAAATGAATGCAGCACATAGAATGACTAACGAAATACTTTAAAATTATTACGCTATAATCCAAAAGGCAAATGAGATTTCGGAAGACCAAGGAAGAGACGCTCTTAACAACTTTGTGAAATCGGAACAGGCAAGCCTAATCCCTGTTGAGAAGAAAAATAAGAACATTGCCAGATGGCAAAAAAATGGCGTCAAGTAGATTGACTCTGCACTTCCCGCGCAACGTAATTATCAGTTCATAAACGATTATGTTTCGCACAAGTTAGTCCTTCTGTACTAGCTAGAAACATGTAGCACAAAAAAAAATTAAATGGATTAAATCAGCCATACGGGCCCATGCAATTATCGCAAACACGCAGACAGTTCTCAGCGTATGAAATTTGCGTCACGAAAGCGTGTCGCGTCTGTAATTATAGTTAAGTTTTAAGGGCAAGTGTCCAGGGAAATCTTATGATCCGTGAAATATGTACTGATAGGTGCGTAAAATTAATGGCATTCGAAGTGTACCCTCTACGATCCCAACCCTCGATTTTCAATCCCTATAAAAAATTCTGAAAATGATCAGGAGTCTTAGAAACATCAAACAACGAAGTTTGAGCGGCCCCTAGCTCCGCCACCACTGAACCGAATTTCGAAAACTGCAAAGCTATTGCGTCTTTGGCAGAGTAGTAACACTGAGTAAAAGATTCCATCAAAATCGGAGTGGTACTTCTCAAGTTATAGGCGGTTATAAGATTAGCGGATAGCTCTACAGACAGACAGACCGACGGAAATGAGTGACATGGCTTTTCACGTTGTACATCTAAAAACCATAATATGTCATTTTCGAAAAAAAATTCGATTACAATATTTCCCCGTCAGTAGGCGTGGGAAGTAAAAGTACAAAAAGGCTGTTTTGCCTCTAAATTCCAGGAAATCTGAATTTTGCTACGCCACTGTATTTCGACGCTACGTGCTGCTCCGTCCCGATCAGTATAGTAATGTAAACAGAGATAATAATTTGTACCGCAGTTTCATACATCGCGCATTGACCGGATCAGTGGTGCAACATTTGTGTACACAGTTGATTGAATAATTTCCAAAATGAAGAATGTGATATGTCTGCTGTTGCCGCTGGTTCTGCTTTTGGTTAGCGAAACAAAGTGCAAGCCGAAAGTTTCCAGTACGGAGGAATCTGTGAATGAAAACGAGCTTGACAGTAGACCATTTGGACGAAGTGGTAATGATTTTTTTCTGTTTCTGTGGTAGATACGGAAGGTCAGTGAGGTCAAATTGAGATGTTTTTCCTGTTCATCTGAGCATCTGGGCATGCTCGTTTGATAGTATCTAAATACTCGATATCTGTGACGTAACCAAGAGATTTCTAATACGAGCTGCTAAGTCGTGTCATCAATGCTTCTGACCTTATCAAGTCAGACAAACAATACTGAATTCATCCGGCCGGCCAACAGAGGGTACGGTTGTCAATCGATTCGTACAAGTTCGGACTTATCGGTTCTTTCCAATAATGCATTTCCAATAGTTAAGGACTGTCATATGCATCGTGTTCCTGACAGATATTTACTGAAATGACTCTTGAATCGATTTTAAGGAAAAAAGTCATATCAACATGTCCTAAGTGTCTCAGCCTTTAAGATACAAGGTGGTAAAGTTTTCAGAAAGAAAATCTGTATTTTATAACTGTTATATTGTTGATATGTACGTATATATTTATAAAATTTGGTGCATTTTCTAGCTGATTCATGGTTATTGGAAATCATCAACGTAGTCTAAGATGTGTCAGGATAGGTAGTACCATAAACGAAGGCAGAGCTAAGCACCATCTGTCTAAAATATACGGTCTATTGTACATATAATACGTTTGAACTATCGGTCTGGTCATAATCAATGTAATCAATATGGGTGATGCTGATAATTATAAAAGGAGTCATCTTTCATTTAATGCTCGGTAACAAAAGTTCCAAACAAAATTAAATGGCGTAGTGTTGAAGACAGCTAAAAAGCGGACCATTATCGATCATTATGGAGTCATATTTGAAAGTGAGAGACAAGACGTGTCCTTGTGGGCATTGATTTCCCAATAGTTTTTGAGGTTTGGAAAGTACAGTAGTATGTGAAAGTAAGAGATAAATTCAACGGAATTGACGAAAATAAAACTAATTCCGTATTTATCGATCCTGACTTTTCATGACAATGGAACGAACTATCAACCAATTAAGAACAATATTTTAAACCAATAAGCATATCAAAAAATAGCGTCCAATACATTGACTTTATGCTTCCTACGCCTTGGTTGGAGGTTTCAAATGAAAAGGATGAGTCAAATCGTTTCGAAAGGCGAAATAGAATCGTGATTAGGAAGGTGCACTTAGGTACAATGTATCTTCGACCTCTGCATATCAAACTATATAAAGCAAATCTATCATACTCCTGTATTAATAGAGTATGTGGGGAAAACATGTGTGACTCATTATGTCAAACAAGTACATAGTATCACTGAGATCAACAGCTTCTTAACAATAGAATATATTTCACTGACACCAAATATGCAACAATTTACAACCATTTACTGCGTGAGCAGGAATCTCTTGAACGTTCTAACACTATGTTCCAGCGATTTTATGATAAACGATGGAAGTTTTAAACTCGCGATAATATTCGTACTTCGGTTCACAAGTTTGCAGTTGCTTAAAGATATCTGCACCACACAAGTTCGTCTATCTCATTTATGTCGGTTTGTCAGTCCGCGTCTATTGCATATCAATGCGTCATAAGTACTGAGGCAATCTACCTGACGACATGTTCCAAGAACCATAACCACAAATTAAAGGTTAGGCGAATTGGGTAGTAAATTTAAGATTTTTATTCGTGTTTTAAATACGAGTATGTATCTGATACTCTTTGTTTTATTCTTATTTGGGAATTGCCATCTTGTTAATGAAATGTTTATTTTATATACTGTCTTAACCAAAATAAGTATCTTATACTTCGATTTTATTATTTAAATTGTTAACTATATGGTAAGGTATATGTAAAGTTATTGTTTTAAAATTTTTTTTGTAGAGCTCTGAAGATGGAAATGCATTGATCGGAAATATCAGTAACCTTATAACAGGAAACTGTGTGTTTTTAGATCCTATATCCAAAGAATTACAATTTACTATACTATAATCTGTCTCTGTACCAAACGTCTAGATCCGTTCCATTGGACAGTGCTGATGATTTTCAGTAAACACTAAGCAGCTGTATACGTTTAGCCCAGTTTTTCTATGTGCGTAGACCATCATCTACTATATCGCCAGAATCGACGGCATCAAGCGGTAACAGTGATCAGTCGGCTGTAACAGTCCCAATAGATGAATAGATGCCGTTCAATTTTGCAGTAAAATGATTCTGCTAAGAGATGGTACTTTGTGCTGTCGTGTTTCGATCTCTCAACTCCCTGGAAAAAAAAACTATTTATTGTCTCCTACAACAGTGATACAAGAGAGAAAAGACTGAGTAATGGTGTCAATAAATAAAAGCGATGGTTGTGCCCTGTCCACATGACGCAATTCATTCACCAGTGCAATTCTAGACCGGAATTAGGGTTTTGCATATACGATCTGCTCCTCGGTGTCTTTAAGACAATCTACAAGAGAAATAACTGTAAGACGACTGCATGAATAATGTGGCAACCGGTCTGCATGTAGGTGAGGCATGAGGCATCGACTGTTTTGCATAAACGGCCGACTCGATGTACCGATGCGCATATAATGCAATGCGGCAACCAGCTTGACAGTGCAGATGTAGAATGCATTTTCTGCAAGTTTTATTATTGGTATTGAAAAAGTCGCACATTGTGTAAAATTCTGATGTGTTGTGTGCTCTTGGTTTAAAAGAAAAGGCAAATAATCGGAGGCCCAACAAGACAACTAGTATTATTCAATGACATTTCTTAAACCTAAGGGAAAACACCGCCCGACAATGATAGAAAAACGGTTTGATTATTCTTTTTGCCCATTAGGTGGTGGCAAATGCCCAAGCGTTCGGATGCAGAAGTATAATTACTTCGGGGGCTCCTGTACTAGTTATAGTCGACTATAGATGATAATGCAAATCCCAGAAGACTTCTTGGGGAGATTTATTTTACCATCCTCTATGTCGCCAGGAATGGCTCTCCCACAGATTATTTGGTAGACACACACATAACATCTATACAACTATACAGATATGCACACTAGAACTAGAAGCAGTCTATTTAGATATGCAAACTCTAATATTTCTGGAAGAGTATTGTATGTATTTCCATTCCTAATTGAAACCCCATAAAAACACACAAGTTAATGCTATAATGAAATGCAGTCAACTCTATCATATGATTGTCGATGTCGTGACAGGCGTCACACTTTCTTCTGCTGGACAGAATGTTCTCCAGCTTCTTGACTCAAAATAATCTCTAAAACGCCATTTTTATATACGGCTTTCAATAACAGTCGGCTTCAATTTTTGAGAAGAATATTTAAAATACGTTGAGATAACTTGCTCAATAGGCTACTTGATTCATATCTAATTCCATAGAATAAGTGAGTATTTCTTACAGTATTTGGCGAAATACATCGATTTAAATGTTGATAAGCGCAAGATGGATATACATACATATCTAAAAGTCCCAATTAAAAAAAAAACAATGTAAAAAGTTGTTGTCTTCTCGTTTTATTGATAAAAACAATCATGGACGCTGGATTCGTAAAAGTAGAAAGCACAAATTTGCCGAAAATTGATACATTGATGGTTGGCAATTTTATGTCTTCAACCCAGATTTCTGCTCGACTGAGCTAAAGAACACCAAGGCTTCTATGTTATAGTTGTAGTCACCGTTCTTGGTGGTTACGTCACCAACGCCATATGAAATAAGTAAACAGATCGAGTCTCCGTACCATGGGCGGATCTTCACATCTGCTACTCTATCCAGTACGCATGAAGTGGGTAACAGGGTACCGCTGTTTTCATTCTCTAATACTCCAATAAATTTAGCACGAGCTGCATCGTACAATTTTATATTAAAGATTGATTACAGAACAACTTAAATTGAACGCCCATGCCAAGTAAGTCACTCTGACAAATATGATTGAAGGGCACTCATACTTAACGACAAAGTTTTAGAGACGGAGACACACAACTGAAAAACGTATGTCTTTGAGCTTACCGAACAAACGTTCACGCACAGAGGTAGGTGTATGTATGAGGGAGACGGAGATATACGAGTATAAAGGGATACTGGTAGTCTTACTTTGAGCCGCCAAGAATGGTGACTACAACTATAGTCCAGTGCATTTGATATACCTAGTGACAGACATAAAAAAGAATAAGTAATACTGACATAATCTGCCTTTTCAGAAGTCATTCAAAACCTAGCTAATGAGTCATAACCTTTGAATAATTGTATCTAATATTGTATTCCTTCCTACACATCTGCAAGGGAATCGTACGGAGATGATGTCGCAGGTTACGTCCAACTTAAACAAGACGCTAAAATCTGCACAGTAAAATGCAAACTATGTCCCGAACATGCTCCAAGCAATATACGGTGTTGCCTATATTTATTTCCCTGGGTACTCTAATCCACATATTTCCCTGTGGTCTTTATCGATGTGATTTTACATTCTCGGACGATACAATAACTAATTGCTCTATTTTTCATGTAAACTAGTAGACGTCATGTTTACATTCTTAAAGTTTGAGAGGTTATGCTGCTGTCAGATGCTGTTTACAAACGGTATGATGTCAGAGCACATTAACATGGGCCAAACATGGCAGACAGCCTTTTCTCCGGTCTTAGAAAAATAGATTTTTAAATTAAAAAATTAAACCTTTGAGGTATGAAAAAATATAGTATCAATTTGTTTGGTCTAATGAAACATATATAAACATTCAAGACCTACTTTAAAAAAGTGTCAACTAGTCTATTATCGACTAGCCTTATTTTAGCTGTAGAGTAATATTACTTATTTGCAAGCAGAGTGCAACTATTTAGGAATGGCGGATATGGCATTTGTTTAGCAACCTACTGTAAAACATTTAAGCAGTTTCTTAAAGTCCTACTATTTTTATTGTTCTCATTACTACCTTTAAACATAACATGAAAAAGTCAGTATTATATTGTTTATAGAATAATATCCAAATCGGAAATAGGGACCGTTTACTTTTGCTCATTTCATAAAAATTGAATGTTCAGCTCATGATATGAAACAAATAACTTCTGAGGATTTCAAGGACTAAATTCTGTTTTTTTTAATTTCGTGGCGTTGAAGAAAAAATACAGTTGATAAGTAATTGCAAGAGATAATAAAACGTAATATCGAAATTAAACGTCTTATAGAGGATAAGGTGGTAATATTAATGATACATTTATTTTGAAATCCCAGCTGAATTAAAGTCTGGGAAAAATGAAAACGGGTACATTTGTTTTTCCGTTCATCTTCGGAAGTACTCTAGAGTGCTATTTTCTTAGTTGATCAAATGCATAACTCGGCTTCCATTTAAACTCTTATGGATCTCTTACATTCTCCGATGTGAGACTCGAATTTGGAATATTCCGTATATGATTTGCTAAACGATCGTAATGCATGAACATAGACATTTATTAATAATTTAATGTGTTGTTTGACTACTCATATTTACACAGACGTAATGCTGAATTTAGGGTAAAAAATCCTGTAATTATTGTTTCAGATTGCCAAAAAGACATAGAAGAAGGCAGAGAACACTGCAGAGCTTTGATCCCAGTATACCGATGGAATAACATGAAGCAAAAATGCGAATCAGCATTTTATGGTGGTTGCAACAAAACAAAAAATAACTTCAGGACTCTGAAAGAATGTGAAGATACTGCAGGGACTATTTGCAAAAAATAAATTCGAGGTGATAGACGTAATGCCTAAAAATAGTGTGATTAATAGTTATTGCAGTTAAATGTATATAGATGCATCTATCTTATAACGTAATAATTTAAGCTTGGTTGTGATATCACAATTGATAATATAATATTGATAAAAAATAGACATGGACAAGTTTTATTAATTGAGTGTTTCAATTCTAAGAAAATGCTCTCTTCGAAAGTCGCAAGTGGTAGGAACATCATTGCCTCAAAATCCGCACTTCTTATTATTTTCCGAATCCACAGTGAACAAATGAACGCCAGTTGTCTACTGCATCAGTGTTGCTAACCAAACAACAAAAACCCACCTGCTCCGCGGTATATTAAAACTTACGTAACAGGCAATTTCATTATTTCATGCCAATTCATCCTAACAGCAAGTTTTAACAAGATTCCAAGCTTACCGTTAGCGAGAAATCAAGCAAATTAATTTTAATCAAGGCACAGCCTAAGTGCCTGGCTGATGCTCATTCACCTCTAGAGTGGCTTGGATGAAGTTTTTGTCTGCGAAGTTACGCAGACTCCACTGTAAACAGCATGATACACGTAAATGGGCTCGGTGCTTAATATCAATTTGTTTTGTTTGCTTGAAGAAAGCAACCCTTTTAGGAGTCTAACCATTTCCTTACAAATTGCGTACTTCCCAGAGAAAAATGGTGTTTTCATGGGTCTGGAAATAAGGGACCCTTAAATGAAGACAATAAGGCTCCGAGTGTGTTCGTTCTGTATTTGACGTTCTTATTTTCAACATGCATTGTCCACGTCGTAATTTTTCTTGAATCATTTTCACAAGTTAATCGAGCAAGAATTAGGACATAGCAGCACTATGACGTTTCAGATGGCCATATTTAAAATAAACATTCCTCACGATATGGATTTAGAAACGAAAAGTCTGCTGCACTTAGGGCAGTGGTACAGCTAGCATAAGCAGCCAGTAGCGGCAGCTGCAGTAGTAAGAAGCTTTGCTTTATGGTTGTTCTTGACGTTAAAAATGCTTTTGACACGGCACAATGGCAGAAAATCGTCCATATGACACCATGAGAATTACAGGGTTAGAAGAAAATGGCTTGAAATTTGTTCCTGAGAAGACGGAAGTGGCTATACTTTCTGGTAGACAGAAGCTAACAAACACCCAGGTAGTATGTGGCATGATAAAGATCTGGCAATAGCTGAACACATAAGGTGTACCACTGATAACGAACGTAAAGTCGTTGCATCCCTGATATGGCTAACACTATCTGAGAGCCGTGGGATTTTGACAGGGGTAGCTTGCTGTATGTAGCTCCTATCTATTACAAGGCCTTGAGGGAAAAGAAATGTAGGAGGCATCTAATTCTCAGAAGCCAGTGTGGTCCTACCTTTGATCCTACGGTATAATACCCTGATAATTCCTCTTGATAAAGGATGAGATAGCATCTCGCTAACAAAAAAAAACACATTTCCAGACAACAAAAGAAACAACTCCAAAGTCGTACTCCCACAGGAATACAAATACTTTAAAGTCACCACCAACGCGGGGGTGTGTGTATATTAGATTTGTTTGAATTGTTTGGAGGCAACCCCTGAATAAGCTACCCCTAAACATCCACGTTTAGCGGAGGGTGAAAAACGACCCTCACCCCGTGTAAGTCGGTAAACACTTTCTGGGTTTCGCTAGGGATGGTTAGGAAGGAGGATCGAGTACATTCGAACAGTTTCATCGGTCTATGAAATTTAAAATCCACTTACCCCTCCGATTGATAGAAGGATGTTCATTTTGGTAGAGGATAGGTACTTACCTAAAAAATAAAAGAATATAAATGATATATATTTCATATATTTTAAAAAAGATATGTCTCGTATAAAATTGAATACATCAAAATCATTGTGAAAGAAAAATATCTCTATAGCTTATACTATACCTTGATCGAGCCACATTTAACCTACGCTATATTGGCATGGGGAGCTCATGCTCAACTTATTTTTGAATAAATTAAAAAATAAGGATATATACGTATATGTCTTGACTAATCTTTATCTCTTAAACGCTATCAAAAATTTATCAATAATGACCGAAAAATTAAACACAACCACGTAAGGCATAAGCTAAGAGGAGCAGTTGTACCTAGTCCAAATAAATCTATAACACAATGATCACACCTTTATTTAGGACCAGTATAAATTTATCAGACGATATAAAGAGAATACGCTTGGGTTCAAAAGTTAAAAGGCTTCTTTGACAAGACCAGACCATTAATAGTAAATGATATAATGATAATGAATAATTCGATGATTAGTTGTATCTTATTCATATTTGAATACTATGCACAATTGCAACATTAAAGGTCCATGTACAGGCAATGCCCCCTATGGACCCTTATTTCATATTTACTCATTCTTTATATTGTGCTTTTGAGTAAATAAATATTGTTTTTTATAGTCAAACCACCATGAAGGCCTAAACATCCATGAGGTACCGTGGGGCTATAGGGAAATACAGGGGAAAAGGGTAGGGGGACGCCACACGAGCTCTAGTGAGGGAACACGTGTGCATGCAACATTTACACATTCTGGTCCTGCCTCAGAGATCTGTCGGGTGGTACCGTCTACCACTTACGGACAATCACAACATCCATAGACAAGAGAAAAATTCTCTTGGGATGGGATTCGAACTCGTAGCGCACGGCGACTGATTAGTAGGCCCATAACGTCTAACACTACGATACCGCTGCTGCCTGAAGGTGAAGTAAAGGTAAGGTAAAGAAGAATAAATTCAATTTTTTGTTCGTACAGGGTGTCCCGGAGAAAGAGTACAATTTCTTAGATGCATGTAGTGCTTAAAGAATAATGTCAAAGGTTCATATAAAATATTCCCTACGAAGCTCATTTACGGACCTTCAGAACGCCACGGGAAACAGGTTTTTTTGAACAACTGTTGAATGACAATATATAATTCAAATAAATTTTAGCAACATAATAACTAATTAGCGCCTCATCGTAGGCGCCCGCTAGTTTAGCACAGATTTGTGACGTATGAGAAAAATGCGGGCGGGCGCTCATATGCCTCACATGACGGTGTGACCATCGAAAACAATTCTTTCTTACGCCTAGTATAATAATCACATTTTTTATGTCAAAATTGCAGAGCAAGAAATTTCAGATGTAACCGTGTAAGAGTTTGACTTGAGCTTGAAGGTCAGATTTAGGTGACCCCCACAAATGTCCAACTGTGCTGTCGAACATTTTTGTTAGAGCAAATTGTTTTGAACGTCATTTTACGTTGAAATGGTCTTGAAGGTCAAGGTCATATTCAGACGTAAAATTTCTTTTCACATCTGTGTGGAAAAGGGGGAGATCTATTTAGAAACACTCACATTGACCTATAAATGACCCTAAATATCACGATCAAGGTCATAGTTAAGGTCAACATCATTTTGCCTACCCGAAACCCTACAACTTTTAAATTTTTTCCTAGACTGCGTCGTTATCGAAATATTTATGTGGGGCGGTTAAAATGGGACGACTGAGGGCCGATTGCACCATTTGACAAACCGTTATTCTGCACCAATAGGGTACGAGTACTAAACAGTCCCTCAAATATACCCAATCAGCCTCAAGATCTGTCCGTCAAATTTTTGGGAGCAAATAGCATCAAAGTATTCAAAACAAAACACTATAAAATATGAAGTGACAGCTTGATATTGAAATGTTTTCAGTTTATTAAATATTATGAAATTATATAAAACTGAGCCAAATTAAAAAAAAAAATGCTTGATGGCTGAGTAAAATCCATTTTTTTCAGTTCAGCTGAAGGTTTCTCCATGTTTATTGCAACTTTTGTAATCCATATGTGATTATATTAACTCAAAATCACCTACTGGGTGTTCATAGTTTATCCTACCTTTGCAAACTTGCACTTCCAAATTCTTACATGAAAAACCCTTTTCCCTCAAATTTTTGTTAGGTGTTGCGTTTCAACACATTCATACACTTCTTTCCAATTCCTCAACGACATTTTGATACCATAGGTCCGAAACTGTTCACGATTTTATTCATACATTCAATTGCAGTTGCAGTTTTTTTATTTTAATTTCAGTGTATCAGTCGCACCATCGGTGATGGTACATGGTACACTCAACATAACCACGTATTTCGGGGTTAGTGCAGATTTAACTGTACACGACAGTGTAATATATAATTCTGCACAGGAAAGATCTTGCTTTTATTCCGAAAATCCATTTTTTAGAACATGTCGACTGCTTAATACGCTGTCAAAATTTCGTTTGATTATATAGTGTCTTTCAAAACTTTTAGAAAAACCGATTAGATAGATAGATAGAAAGATAGATGGATCTTTATTTCCAACAGGTACAATCACCCAATTACAGGAAATAGTTCAAAAAGAAAACAAGAGCAACACATAATCCTAGTATATACGTATAAGAAAAAACACAATCAAATTAATAATACAGCTAGATCAAAAAGCCAAAATATTAAAAAAAAAGAATAACTCTAACCGCAAGAAGGTCATTACATGCCATGGGAAATGGCCAGATAGCGTTGTTTAAAGTCATTTCTAGATGAAGTATTCACATCACAATATTCACCTAAAGAATTGAAGTTCTCACACATAACCGTGACCGGCGATTTTCTCGAGATATTTGTACGAGCTAATTCGCAGTAAAATGTCATTTGGTGACGCAAATTGCGCACAGGTACATGAAAGTTAAACTTAATATATATTCACATATGACATCATTGTGCAAAACATCATAAAGACAAGTTAAACTACTTATTTCCTACTATTTAGCGACATATAGTCAAATGTATTCATGAGTACAGAATAATCACATCCTCTCTCCGGATATTCGCCTGTCCACTTGAAATGCACAAATTTCAAAAACTTTCTTTGTATTCGCTCAATACGGCTTATATGAACCGAATAGATGGGATACCAAATTAAAAATTCTGCCGTATGAACCTAATCGTCTAGCAATAAAGATAAACGATTCCAGTAATCAGGCAAATCATATCGGCATCATTAGTCCGTCCCGTTCGTTTAGCCTTTCTAATTGCAGCACTGACTGACAGCAATCCACAGCGAGCCTTTTACAGATGTTAAGTTTTTCAGCACTGCGGCCTCTTCTCGCTTCCACGTAAACAT